ATGACAGAGCATGCGCTGTTATGCAAAAACCGCGATAGAGTGAAGCCGCGGAAGTCCGAAGCGCGAAGTGGCGAGGGTTCACTGTATTTGTTTCTATGGCTCTCACCATTCTCCATCTCTTTCTATAAGGTCTCTTCATCTATCCTATCTATGGATCTATCATCTATCTACCCATCTATTTATCTATCTACTTACCTTCCTCTCCTCCTCTCATTCGAATCACTCCTCCAGTCACTACTACTGGATTTCTTTTCTGACAAACAACTGAACCCCCGGCTTCCCCTTTGGACTTGAAAACCCCTTTTCCCCCTTTTCTTTTTGTTCTGCATTGTCCTTAGTTGTCTGGGAGACACTCCATAGCTGACGGTGTTCCTCTCTGCTAAGACAGTATTTGAAGAAGTGAGCCCTCCTTTGGGAATTCCACCCAAACTTTTCCAGGCCGGTAGTGGGTGATGTTTCCCTTCCAAGGAGCTGGAAGCAGTCCAAGGGTGTGTATGGATTGCCCGGTAGGTTTTCAAACTGTGCGGCTTTAATTAGCCCTGATGGTGCTCAGTCTTCCACAGCTACAGCTGGAGATGTGTGTTCTTTCGTGATTATTTTGAAAGGCTTTAAGTAATTGCTTTCAACCCTTTTGAGATCATGGGCCTCTTTCAGGAAACTGAGAAGCACCATGATCCCTTCAGGAAAAAACAAAAGCACTTACATACTAAGCTTTGTGGGAGTGGTTCTCTGGAGGACGGGGAGTCTGCACCCCTCCACGCCCTGAAAGACATTTTGCAGTGTATGGAGACATTTTTTTTTTTATTATCGTGACTTAAGAGCTACTACTGGCCTCTAGTGGGTAGAGGCCAGGGATGCTGGTTCACATTTACCATGCTCAGGACAGACCCTTCGGAAGGAAAGAATCCTCTGTACCCATGTCAGAAGTGTCAAGGTTGCGAAAACTTGCTTCAGTGAAATGTCAGATGGGTCCCTTGATTCCTTGCAGCTGCTCTGTGAACCCCAGAATTAGAATTTCCGATGGAAATTGTTTTCATTCTTCCTGAATCCCCCTTCTCTGAGCTCCGCATGCTAATTATTGGTTTGACTTTGGTTGTTTAACATGCTCTCTGTTGTGATAAGGTCGTCATGAGATGGGAAGGGAGAAGTCAGCTATAAAAAGGCAGATGATGATCAGTGAGATTCAGACTCACCAGTGCATGTCCTGAGGAGGAAATGGGTCCCAGCATTTCTCCAGCGTGCAGGCGTTTTCGCAGGGAGATGGGTGACTGAGAGATGTTCTTGGGGATTTTGGTTAGGGTGGATGCGGAACCCCTTCTGGGTGAGTCCCTACACTAAGGTTTTTATATTAGATTATTTAACCCTGTATGTTAGTCTGGGTGGCCTAGAGAAACAAATGTACAGGCACTCATATGTATATGAAAAAGATTTTTATATAAAAGA